GTAGTACAATTTTATGCATATCAAATGTTGCAAGGGTTAATGTATTTACATGAACATAACATAGTACATAGAGACATAAAACCGGATAGTAAGTTTTTTTTTATTTAAAATTTCTTTTTTAATATTGTCATTTAGGATTTTAATTTTTTTTTTTTTTTAGATATATTGTTAGACCATATGGGAACTATTAAATTTGTTGACTTTGGGGCCGCAAAGATTCTCGCAAAGAATCAAAGGACAATGGGACGCACAACTACGGGTCCAGGAACGAATGTCAATAGTTTAACTGGTACACCTATGTATATGGTTAGTTTATTGTGTAATATTTCCTAAATTTTAGGTTTGTATGTGAGTAATATGTTAATTGATCATCTCGTTCATTCATATAGGCACCGGAAGTTATAACTGGTGGAGAAAAAGGTCGTAAAGGATCAATGGATATATGGTCGTTAGGTTGTTGCGTTTTAGAAATGGCGACAGGACGACGTCCATGGTCAAATTTAGATAATGAATGGGCTGTAATGTACCATGTAGTAACAGGTCATCCACCGTTACCTGATTCTTCTCAATTATCAGATTTGGGAATTGACTTTCTTAGACAGTGTTTCACAAGATCGCCACAAGACCGTCCTTCAGCCGAAGAATTACTTCAAGATCCTTGGATGGTTCTCGGTTAGTTTCGGGAATGGCGATCAGGGATTTTACTAAAATAGACAGTGCCGATCGCACTTTTTATGATATAGAAATGTCGATCAAATAATTTAGACATTTCAGTTGTACAAAAATCACATGTGATCGGCGAATTTTTATTAAATTTATTATTATATAATATATATATATTAACATATAAACGAAGATTCATTAGTAAAACGTCAGTCAATTCTATCATATCTCAAATCGAATGATCTTAGCATTATTCGGTCATTTCAATGAGATGAACTAAACTGGTATTAAAATAGGATTGGATATGGGTGTGATTTCGTATTATCACACGAAAACGAAGTGTCATATGAAATACGTAGCTAGAAACATGTGACATTAGAATGAGAGATACGTTACTTACAAAAATAAAGTTACATTAGCGTTAGTAATAAAGTTTAATAAATATTTTCCTAATATTTTGCTAATTTTTTTAATATTATACCAAACTTGATAAGTTTTAAATTTTAATGTCGATATCGATATGCTTTTAAATTAATAAAAAATAATATGTTTTGTTGATAAGTTAATACATTATATTTATTTAAAATACAGTCAACTTTCTCTAAGTGCATGTATTCTAAATGCTACTCTTTATAAAATTCTCTAAATGCAAGGCCTCTTTTGGTCCCAAGTATACAGAACAATATAGATTTTGCTTTCCCTAAACGCAACTTTTCTCTAAATGCAATATTTTATTTTATTTTATTTTAAATTTTTTATGCTCCAGCAAATTGCATTTAGAGATGCATTTAGATAGAGTTGACTGTACAACACAATTTAAAAACATATATAAATTATAAGTAAAATTAGATGTGTTGATAAATTACATTACTATTACATGTTTTTGGCCAATTAAAATATATCAAATTGAAGTTATCATTGAGAATGATAATGTACAGTTTGAGTTTGGATTCAATAGTAAACGTGAATAGCACATATATATGCTTCAAGAAAATCAGTATATCATCGGTTAGTCATAGGGGCGAGTATTTTCTTTTTCTCCCTCAAAATTGTTCTTTGACCATATATTTTCTAATTCACCATATACGTAGATATCCAAATTTTAAGTTGGTGTAAAGGTGCTTTGATACATTAAAACTACCACCTATTGTCATAACAATATTAATCTTTGTTCACACAAATTCTGATCAGAGTTGTCATTGGTCGATGTCCAAATAAATTCATGGAGTCCAAATGTCCAAATAATTTTTTTGACCATTAGACATTGGACAATGTACAAAAAAATTATAAAACTACTGTAATTGGACATGTGTCCAATTCATTAATCATGTATTTGTCCAATTGTCCACTAATTTTATTGGACAGACGTACTCCTAATAACGATATGAATTAACATGCGGGAATCTAATTTGTATTCATTTTCAAATGAGTGATATATAAACTTTATTTCATTTTTCAATAAATTTGAAATGATAACCTTTGACGTTGAAAAGTCTACTTATTCGTTAAATGGGAATTCGTTAAATGGGAGTCTCTAAACATTCCCATTTCATTTTCCGGTTTCAAAAATTTGATTCACAATAAATTTTTTGAAACTCCCACTTATTTCCGAAATACGCTATATTTTTTTATTTCAAAGACCCTATTAGTATAATCATAATTGTCCGAGGTGAAGTAAATTCCCTATACAGATATCGAATGCAATGTCTGGTAGAAACAGCCAATGAAAATTCACGAATTGATTGATTTCTAGTTGTAATTAATGTTCAATAAAATTTACACGAAATTCTATTTTGACCCGGGTTAACTGTTAAAGTCACCCAAACTATTACTAATTCTACGTATTAACGTTAAATTCTATCACGTGAGCATTTGTAGCCTATTGGGCAACACCCTATTGAAAATAGAATTATTTGGACAAATTGGACAAATTGGACATTGTCCAAATGTTCAAATGTCCAAATTGTCCAAGTGTTAGTATTATTATGTAACATCTCTGATTCTGATTATCGATATAATTGTGGGGTCACTATTCTGATCATTAATTATGCGGTTTAGAATACTTCTCAAATAGTAAAATACCACATTAAAAAAAAAAATCCTCTTAACGCTATTTCTTTTGTCATTAATTAGTTATTATATTGTTATAAAAGTTAGATGCTACTTTAAACCTTTTAAAGTGAGACAAAATTTCATCGTCTTAACAAATTTTATTATGGTTCTTATTTAACTTTTAATTAACTAAGGCCAGACCAATTTAATTCGGTGGTTTACGTTACCCCCCATTTCCCCCCTCACTATATGTGCGGAAAATTTCGGAAAACTTTTATAATATCGCGGATCATTTCGGAGAAAAAATTTA